TAGCGGATTCGCGAAGCCGCAGGTGTAGCTGCGGAATCTTGGCTAAGACCAATGAACGTCGCGCGGGCGCACCGTTCTAGCCTCACAGATTGGGCAGCGTGCTGATGGCTGTGGGATCTAGATTGATTAAGCGAGTGGGTTGAGAATGGCCCGTTTGATTTGAAGGAAGGTCGCAAGGTTGTGAGGTTGATGGCGGCTGGAGAAGCGCAGGGTGCGGCAATCTGGGCGCCTTGGTTGGTGAGAGAGGGAATAGATTGAGGTTGTTGCTAGCTGGGGTGGAATGGCAGATCAGTGTGCGTAGGTGAAAGGATTCGAGGCGGCTAGAGATTGAGGTAGGAGGGAATTAAATGGAATTTCGATTGCATGCAGAAGAAGGAGACAGAGAAAGATGGTCGAAGAAATAGAACGGAAGTAGAGGAGCTTTCAAGGTTGAACGAACGAACCGATGGAAAATGCGGGCGGGCGACATGACGGTTGCCCAATTGGGAATTCATCTCTCATCCCCAACCTCGCGATGAGCCTTCGCAATCGCATTTCAAGTTTGGCTTCAGTGCTTCAGTTGCTACCAAGAGAGGACGACTGCGGCAAGTTCCAGAATTGCTGTCTTTTAACAAAGAAGACTCTTGCTGTTGTAAACGCTCTCTACTCGTAATCCAAGTCTGCTAACAAGCAGCTGTCCGTTTCTATACTCCTAGACGGTTATACCACCGGCGGCCGGATCGCATCCTGTTTTCAGCCTTGATCACACGGTCCTCTCCTGAAGAACGGAGCCTGAATGAAGGCAAGGATTGCCATTTGATCGAGCTTGCCAAAGCATTCAAGCCTGGCCTTGTCTCCTTTCTTATATGCATTGATTGTAACATTTAGCGTTCAGGTCGGTTGCTGCCATCCGTTCTGTCGCGCTCTCCCCTCTCCCCCTCCTTACTCTGCCTGGACTCCGGCAACCACCACCACCATCACCGACCCTCTTCATCATCGTCTTCTTTTCTGTGGTCCTACCTGTCTCTGTCACTTGGAGCTAATCCCGGTGTCCTTGAAGGACCTTGCATTAGCCTTGTCTTCGTGGAGATCAGACCCAGTTCGCCGTCGGTCTTTTCCCAGTGTAACCCCCCGACCGACTCACGAGGGCCGCTATTCTTCGTTCCTTCTTCTTTGCCGCCTACAAATTAATAGGTTGATCTCTTCCCCTACCCAGCTTCCTCCGGTGGCCTCCAATGACACCGTAGGACGCTCAAGGAGCAATTAGGCAGCCCTGGGGCAGAGGCATACTTCACCACCATTGACCTGCTCTCGGCCAAATTCCCTCTACCCAGCAGGTGATTTCCCTCGCCTACCCACTACCTCGTTTCGCAGCCGCACCGCACCGTCCCCTAAGCTTCAGCCACTACGCTCCTTCGCGGTCTTTTCCCTTACCTACTCCGGTTCTCATCATGAACTGCGGTCCGTTCTACATTCACACTACGAGATCAACTGGCGCTTCCTAAAACATTGTCGCGGTAGGAGCATGTCTCTGCCGGGACCAAATGTCCGTATCAGCATCGATTCCCGACACTTCGCTTGGCCTTACCTCCTCCGAGATCCAGATCCTAAGACAGCAACAACAAATTGCACTTCAAGGCAGCCATGGCGCCAATGGTATTTCCAGAGGCAGGGGAACCGGACGCACCAGCAATTCCAGTTCGCGCGCCGCCAGTGCCGCCAGCAGTCAGGGCCGTTTGCTTCTGGACCCTCTAAGTTTACGAGCGCTTTCGCAGCAGTTGGATGCCCTACAGCAACAAATTCGGAGTCGCATTGACTATGTATGTTTGATAATCCCTACATTGTGCAATCATGCATGTTTGAGCATCCACCCTTCCCCTTGGGTGACCAGTCTGCACTTGCTTTCCTGCCGCCTGAATACAAGCTTGCAGCTGGTGGAAGACGTTACGTACTACACATGCGCGCACATATCCTATCGGCTCTCTAAAAATCTGGATGCTAATTCGCAATAGCTCGAGGAACAAATGCAGCTATCGATTCAAAACAGCTACGATCGTGCTGGAAATGTTGTACGCAATGCCGATGCTGAAATCGCCCGCACACGTTCCATTCTAGCCTCCATAGATGAGCTGGATACCGAGCTTGCCAAGATCGGTCACATACGAGAAATTGTGAAAGCATACCGTGGCCGCATAGAAGGTCTTGACCAACGCCTGGACCAAGCTGCCCGTCGGAGGCATTGAGACACGCCAACCTACCCTATTCGCTTCAATTAGTACCGTCTTCTTCCACAACCTGGTCTATTCATCACCGCGTTTCGCCTATGGCGCCCATTTGTCATCATTCCCTTCGTCAACTCTATTTCCTTTCCATGCGGCCGCGGGACAGTCATTTTTCCACCATGCTCCCTCCTCTAATCCTTTGCGCTTCAATATTCACGGGATAAATCCTTCAGTTGCCGCAAACATCCTGGGCAATCTTGCCAAGAAGCCTCTCGAACATGAAGAAGCTCAAATGAAAGCCCGGAAACAGTGGCATCTGAACTCTTTACTGCCCACCTTCGAGCACCGCCACAAAAAAACTGCAAATCATAAAGCGATATTGTCCTCACGGACTCAATGACATGACTTTACAACTCTGCACGATTAGCACAGCGTTCTATATGCTTACTTTGATTCCAATCATGGTTGAACCATGAGTCTATGGGAGGAATTTGTTTCTCTTTTGGTTACGTACTCGGAGAAGACTATTGACTAGAGATTTGGATGTTCGCCACGCGGCGATTTCGAACTCGAAATTCGATCGAGGCTTGACAGGAACAAGCATGGCGTTATTAGTATTTGGACTCTATTTTTTTTATTTGGCTACCACTGGAGCTTGTCTCCTGATTTATGATTCACGCTTTCCAATCCACGAATCTGATGACCCGGCTATCTGTGCAATCATGATGCGATTCCCCGGTATGCATTTATATTTGTTTGACATGACGTCTTTTGATTTTCATATCGTCTTCACTTTTAGCTCTGGAACCCATTGGGTGGCACTTTACATCAATGAACCTTTCCACTGGTCCCGTGCATCTCAGTCATCCCGTGATAGACAGGCACATGTAAGTTTGATACCTCGGTCTCAATGGACCTGGCAGATAATCAACAGTGATAACCTGATATGACCGGTGCTGTGAGGGACGATTGCAGGTGATGGTGTTATTTGCAAATCCCTTCATATGGTCTTAGCCGGGGCACTTCTGTTAGAGCCAAGCAAAGAAACTAAGCTCAATATGGATAACTCAGTGTATGCCAATGGTGCCAATATAGTGGGCATGACGGCACACGTGCAGAGCCTCACGGCTCTTTCGCCAACAAGATCCCAAGAATTGAGCCTGGCTAAGAGACAGATAACGTTCTGCCGTCGCTTCAGAAGGGCTATCCCGCAAGATGTTTCAACAACCATATGCTGATTGGAGGCAATACGAGACAAAGGCTCCTATGAAAATCTTTGCAGCGTGGGTAGTGTGTTCAAGAGCCTGCACTGTTCTGATTGTCTTGCTTCTCTTGGCCTTGTTCTTGCCGGCGATCAGTCAGCTTCTTGCTGCGCTTCTCTGTTTGGGGGAAACGCTTCTCTGTCCCGCAAGTAGAGCAACGAATGACCAAGAGTTCAGCCCATGGCTTTCTGCGGCCGCGGCTGGGATTCCTCATTTCGCGCGTACAAGTTACTCCAGGAAGTAGAAGCGTATCACATCGCTTGCAGAAAGATCTCTTCATGTCAACCGGTAGGCGAAGTTGCGTTTTCAGAGATACGCCGCGCATTTGTGACAGGTAATTCCGAGAAAGCTGAGGTAGCTGGCCCGTTGCCGCGTTCTGCCCATCTAGGGCCGCGGTTTCGCCCACAGAACCAGCAGAGGGAGAAACGAGTGGCACTATACGTGTTGAGACACTTGGCTTCTGGTCTTCTGTTTCATTCGTGGAGTCGCCAACATGATCAGCGCTGGACTGGGCTTGCAGGAAAGTAGCCGCTTTGTATAGATAGTCAATGCGCGCGCGTATGTGGCTGTTGACACCTCCTGCAGAATCTTTCTTGCCTTTGGATTTTCCTTTGACCATTGCGATAATTGGCCAGGGGCCAGTCCTTTTCAATGGTTGTGTTGTAACAGTCGTACTGGAGGATGTGGAGAGAATCATAATGGAAGAGGAAGCTTTCCTTCATTACCTCTATGTCAGAAGCTAACCGAAAGCGGTCGCCGGGGGCCCGGACCAACCATGACTAATTGACTTTGGCACGTGATCGAGCTGTCTGGGCTCAGCCGCTCCATCCCTTCGCGCGGCGAATGTCCTTCTCTCTCACCATCTTCATCGCCTTCCTTCGCGCCAACAATTTGCCATCACCCTCAATCTATCTCACAGCATCAGCGAGGACATCTCACGTACTACTCAGAACATAGACTTACCTACTTCAACCGGTTCTAAACCCGCTCTCGACCACTTCGGACCTAGGCTCCTCTGCCTTGGTAAAAGCGACGCGCTTCAACAGACAGAGTTTTCCCATCTAGATCACCTTTTATCTCACCACAAACCATCAACATGTCTCACGAGGAAGATCTCATCGACTACTCCGACGAGGAGCTTCCCACCACCGACGCGGCCGCGACCACCGCTGCTCCCGCCGCCAATGGAGAGGACAAGAAGGGCGACTTGACTGTTTCTGGCGGCCGCTCCGACAAGAAGGGCAGCTATGTCGGTATCCACTCGACCGGTTTCCGTGACTTTCTGCTGAAGGAAGAACTTCTGCGTGCCATCACCGACTGCGGTTTCGAACATCCATCGGAGGGTTAGTCCATCATACGTATTCTTTCCCAAAAAAAACCAAAACCTCCCTCCATTGCTCCAAGTTTCAACGTCCGTCCGTCCATCTCCGCGGGAAGGAAAAAGAGTTTCATAGTCGCTTCCGGGCATATATATTTCGTTCGAGCCTGTGGGCGGCATGAGGATGATGCGTGGTTCGGGTCATCAAAAAGACGAGCCAACCCTGCTTGCAAGAGTAGAGAGCAATCCAGGCTTCTGCTTGTTGCTCTCCTTTGCTTTGGCAAATTACGGCAAGACCGTGTTCAGCAAGATTCTCGGGACCTTATCTCGCCTGTGACCACTTGATATTGTTATTCGAGTGGATGTGTTGAAAGGAGCCGCACCGCTTCTTCACTTTTCACATGATACTCGTCCTCTTGCCGCCTGCGGAGAGCTCTTGGACTTGGAGTCTGTATCGCTGGTGATTGGATTTATCGATCCATTGCTCCCCTGCGACTCTTCCTTGTTGTGTTTTGCGCTGGAATTGTCAAATTGACGTGTCATCCTTTATTTCGATACCTGGGGGATGGACGGACTTGCGACACGGATTGCTTTACTTTCATTTTCAAGTCTCATACATCGAGTACAAGTCTAACATACGGTCTCGCCTACCACAGTCCAGCAAGTTTGCATTCCCACCGCCATCTTGAACGTCGATGTTCTGTGCCAGGCCAAGTCTGGTCTCGGTAAGACTGCAGTCTTCGTCCTCACCACATTGCACCAGCTAGAGCCTGTTCCGGGAGAGTGCTCGATCCTCGTTATGTGCCACACTCGTGAGTTGGCCTACCAGATCAAGAACGAATATGCTCGTTTCAGCAAGTACCTTCCCGATGTCCGCACCGCCGTCTTCTACGGTGGTACTCCCATCCAGAAGGATCTGGAGGTCTTGGCGAACAAGGAGTCTTACCCCAACATTGTCGTTGGTACTCCCGGTCGTCTGAACGCTTTGGTCCGCGACAAGAAGCTGTCTCTGCGCAATGTCAAAGCTTTCGTTCTTGACGAGTGTGACAAGATGCTTGACCAGATTGGTGAGTTCTGTTTCGTCCTGTGATCCGTATACGTGCTAATAATATGTTTTAGACATGCGCCGTGATGTCCAGGAGATCTTCCGTGCTACCCCCGCCGATAAGCAGGTCATGATGTTCAGTGCCACCCTCTCTCAGGAGATCCGGCCGGTCTGCAAGAAGTTCATGCGCAACCCTCTCGAAGTCTACGTCGACGACGACACCAAGCTCACCCTTCACGGTCTTCAGCAATACTACATCAAGCTCAGCGAGGCGGAGAAGAACCGTAAGTTGAACGACCTTCTGGACAGCTTGGAGTTCAACCAGGTTATCATCTTCGTCAAGAGCACGCTCCGTGCTCAAGAGCTCGACAAGCTGTTGCGCGAGTGCAACTTCCCCAGTATCGCAGTTCACTCCGGAGTGAGCCAGGAGGAGCGGTAAGTCCGCCTCAGCCGAAAGATCCGGAGGAAGGCCACTAATATCCTTTAGTATCAAACGCTATAAAGAGTTCAAGGAGTTCAACAAGCGTATCTGTGTCGCGACTGACGTGTTCGGTCGTGGTATCGATATCGAGCGTATCAACCTCGCTATCAACTACGATTTGCCCGGTGATGCCGACTCCTATCTCCACCGTGTCGGTCGTGCCGGTCGTTTTGGTACGAAGGGTCTGTCCATCTCCTTTGTCAGCACCGAGGACGACGAGAAGGTTCTCAAGGACATTGAGAAGCGCTTCGAAGTTGCTCTTCCGTAAGTACTCATTACATCAATCCTTGCAACAAACACTAACAATGGCTTAGCGAATATCCCGAGGGTGGTGTTGACTCTAGCACCTACATGGCTTAGATGAGTGTTAGTTAAAGCCACGGGCTGTTGAAAACGATCAAGCTATTTCCTTCATATCTCGTCGTTAGTTTTTATTGTTTCCTTTTGGCGTGATGGTTCGGTTACATTTTCCTCGCTCTTCGGCGAGGCACTGGTTGGAATATGCCGGGAAACACCAGAGACAATCTAGGCAGAAAAGCATACTGAGTCATAAGCAAGCAACTACCGGATACCAGTGCCTTTTAGCATGACAGCTGTATTATCAATGTATGTTTGAGTGGGAAGTTCCACGCGTGGATCAGTTGATTGGCGCGTGTCTTGTTCAATAACGTAACATCGATGCAACAATGTTTCTGATAAGCAAGAAGAATCTCATCTAGCGATGTAAGCTAACATCTGCTCCCCAAAGTAATCAACAACAACCACCACCCTAAGTGAGGTAGAGTACAGTACGGAGGAGCTATCGATAAGCCCGCCTCTGTGATTCATGGAAATAATGACGCAACACGAGAAACCGGCCCCTCCTGCTCCCCCCCTCCCCCCACTTGAATCCAAGAAACACGAGAACGAGATTAACAAGCAATTGATTATATTCCGTGCCTTCTTTCCCTTATCCTGAACTTTGACTTGCCCATTTCCTCCATCCCCATCTTCTTCTGTCTCTCTCCCGCAGAAAAACCTCCCTCGATTCATACCATGAGCCCCCGGTGCTTCATCATCCGCCACGGCGAGACCGAATGGTCCCTCAACGGCCGCCACACGGGCACCACCGACCTGCCCCTCACCGAGAACGGGGAGAAGCGCATCAAAGCCACCGGCAAGGCCCTGGTGGGGAATGATCGATTGATCGCGCCGCGGAAGGTCGTTCACGTGTATGTTGTCCCTTTCCCGTGCCCGTACCCTTGCCCGTGCATACCCTACACTCTACAATGTGTGTGCAATTCACACTCGAGTGTGCTGTGCTGTGCTGTGCTGTGTTCTTGTCTCCGGGGCATCCGGGCTCAACCCCTCCCAGAATACTGTGCTCTGCGCAGCAACAAGATGCGCAAACAAGATCCACGCGAAACTAACTAACCGACCGGGCGGGAAATAGGTATGTCTCGCCGCGGGCGCGCGCGCAGCGGACGCTCGAGCTCCTCGAGATCGGCTGCAAGGAGCGCCTGCCCTGGACGGCGGCGCGCAAGCCCGAGGCGGAGGAGCCGATCCGCACGGAGGCCCGGGTGGAGGTGACCGAGGCGGTGCGCGAGTGGGATTACGGCGATTACGAGGGGTTGACGAGCCGGCAGATCCGGGAGTTGCGGGCGCGGAACGGGGAAGGGAGCTGGGATATTTGGCGCGATGGGTGTCCCGGGGGAGAGTATGTTCTTCCTTCTCTTTCCCCCTCCCCCCTTTCTCTTCTCTTTCAAGCACACGATCATTGAAATTGGGAAAATCTCATACTGTGGATTGGAATGGAATGGTTTTGTTTGGTTGGCCATGTTCCGGTCTAACTGATTTCTGACGGGGTTATTGTGCGTGTGTCTGCTAACATCGAGGCAACGAACCCAGATCCCCCGAAGACGTGATCCAGCGGCTCGACGCCCTCATCGCCGAGATCCGCGCCAAATACCACGGCCCGTGTTTCGAGTCCGAGTCCGCCAAGGGGGATGTCCTGATCGTGGCGCACGGACATATCCTGCGGGCGTTCGCGATGCGGTGGACGGGCAAGCCGTTGACGGAGACGGCGTTGATTCTGGAGGCCGGGGGTGTGGGCACGTTGAGGTGAGTCTTGTCTGGCTGCCCGGCTGCCCCTGCTTTCTTTCCCTCTTTCTGTGTATGTTTGTCTGGCAACCCAAGTGCTAACTCTCCCACCCAACGACAACAGTTACGAGCACCACAGCATCGACGAGCCCGCGATCATCCTCGGTGGAGGGTTCGTGGTCGACTCCTGATCCCATCCTCGCTCGCGGTGCCTGTTTCGAACCAGACACGGTAGGAAGTATCGTATATGCCGGTGTATGTATAAAGCCGAATAACGCTGGACTGGCAGTTGCGATTGGGTAGGTGGTAATGGTGGTAATGGTGGTAACGGGGATGGATCGAGCATCCCATGAAAGAGAGCAATAGAATCAGCCTTCACCATAAATAGCAGTTAGCAACACAACACAACACAACACATCCAATAGACGGACCCATAGTTCCCAGAAAAGAAAAAACTCACACTGATATGTCCCCAAAGAGTAAACCATAGCATACACTCTCCCCTGCGGTTGTACAGAGTACCCGATATCCATTCAAACCCTTCCCTCCCTCTCTCAAGAGACCAGAGGCTTAACTAAGATCCTCATTCACTCTCACTCTCCAACCCATTCCCAGCCCCCGTCCCAGCTCCAGCTCCCGCAGCAGCAGCAGAACTAGAACCGGAACCAGAAGCAGAACCACCATCACCACCTTCAGTCTTGATAATGCCCTCCTCTCCCAACACCTTGGCCGACCCCATAAACAGGGCCCCGACATATCCCCCCAAAAAACGCATATCCTCCGCCTGGACGGCCGTCATGCGCACCAGGTTCTCCGTGTCGCGGAGGTGGCTGTTCAGCTGCGCCAGCTGCGCGTGCAGGTTGGCGTAGTGCCGGGTTTTGGCCATGGACATGCTGGTGGTGCTGCTGCCGGTGCCACTTAGACCGCCGCCGCCGTAGCCCATGGAAGGCGCCGCGGAAGGGAGGATGGAATGGCGGGGCATGTGGTGGGAGTGGCTGTGGCTGTATTGGTGAGAAGGAGGCATGGTGTCTGTATGACTGGAGATAAACTGAAACTCGTTTAACGGCAAAGGGGTGTCTGGCGAGGAGATCGGGTCTGTGGTGTGGTTGTGGTTGTGGTTGTGGTTGTGGTTGTGATGGTGGTGACTGCGGTCGGGGAGGGCTCTCCGTTTGTTGACATCTACGAGTCGGATCACGTGCGAGCGTCGCCGCGGAGATCATGTCTTCCGAAAGCCTGGACACCCACCTTACACCGACTACCGTTACAACATCACTTTCCGATCGAAGTTCGTTTATTGTTGAGGACATGGTTCTCTCTAATCGAATGAACAGTTGCCGTGCCATCTGACGGCCTGGTGGCTTTCACTATTACTCTGCATGAACATGAACCCAGCCAAATCAAACACAGCAATCACCCGAATAAATGATGGACCCCCTGCTCTTTTTATGCGCCAGAAACCAGACCACGATGAAAGAAAACGGCAGGGCTGCATAGGAACATTAAAAAGACAATGGTTTAGGAAATGCAAAGGAGGGCATGCATGTCAGACTGACTTGGATGAGATAAGGAAAAGAATCAGGCAGAGATAACAAATCAAGAAGACGACGGAACCACATGTATGAACTCGACAAAATCATGGGTCGACTCGCATAGTGTACAACAGTTTGTCATGCAGAAGCAGAATGTATGATCAGTACTGGAGAATGAACGTCCGTGGTATAGCTGCGAAAAGTAAAAAAAAAAAGAAGAACGTATTTATCGCTCGAGCGGAGGCCCGTCAGCATGGGAATCAGGAGTTGCTGCAGAGGTGATTGAGGTAAGAGATGTGGGTAAAAGGGATAGAGTCACCCCCACGAGCAACACGTGCGCAACAGCGCCCGCTCAACCAAATGAGAAATTCAGGAAGATCCTTAAGTCCGTTGCATATATGTGAACAATTGAACAAAACCGGAGGATGACACAGGATGCGGTTCAATCCTCTTATTTTCTGGTGCCGAGCTTCTCATTAAAAGTATATCCTTTATAAGAGGCAGAAAGCAACCTGGGTGGATTCCCCTTCATGACAATCCAATACAGGCGGAGAAAGAGGAAGTATAGTGGACCCGGCAAGCATGCGCACAGTCAAAGGGGCTCAACGTGCTCAGCTGCCGGCGAGGGGAGGGCTGGAGGGGAAACGGTTTCTTGGCTTTCAACGGACAGGCGCCGCAGCTTGCTGCGCGCCGAGGCTGATCTGGCTGCTGTGGGCTGAATTCTCGGAATCGAGGTTCGCACTGGCGCCACTATCACCACTCCCCGCGCTGGCGCTCGCACTTCCAGTCAGACTTCTTTCCTTTGGGGTGCCCTTGGTGGGATACGAATTGCTCACCCCAATTTGTTGCTCAACTTGTTGCGGGCCTACCGCATTACCATGTCCTGGGGGATACCTGGGAACAGGTGCCCGCATGTGTCCCGGAGGAGACGGATGACCGCCGTTCGGGGGCCCATGAGGAGGGCCGAAGTGCTGATCCTGAGCAGTGGCCGGACGGCCCATGCGAGGACCAGGCGGGCCACCGTAAGGAGTCGCCGGCGAATGGCTGTTTCTCCTACTGTGTGGGTAGGGGTGCGGGGGATAGTCGCCCATGCGACTCGTGGTCATGGAGTTGGTACGTGAACCTGCAGCCATCTGGTTTCTATCAACAGCGCCGTACCGGTTTGACGAGTAAGCCATCATGGGGTTATCCAAGAGGGAATCATGGAGTCCCGGGATTTCCTGCATGATGCGGTCACTGGCCCGTTTTCTTCCTCCCCCAAAGTAGCGGCTGAATGTACCCGACCGACTGCCGCCGCCGCCGCCGCCGTTGGACAGAAGCTCAGGGTTCTTGCGTATTTGGCTGGCACTCGGGAATTTCTTGGCTCTTCGTGACGTGATGCTCAGCATATCCACATTGTCTGGGTCGATGTTTGGGACCAGGCTGGTATCCATGGGATCGAAATAATCATCCTCGTCTTCCTCATCGAAAGTGGCCCTAGAGGGGGCATTCCTGCGGGGCGGTCCCCGCCTCATGCTCATTTCATGTTCCCGAAGCTGCAACTCGCGCTGCCGCAAAGCCAACTCGCGTTCTCTCAAGGACAGGTCAGCAGTCGACTGCGAGTGGGCAGGACCAGGATGGCCGTCGGGATAACCGTTAGGGTTCCTGGGAGGAGGCCCAGCTTCACCAGCGTCATCGTAGACAACCAAGTGGCTAAATTCCTCCAGTCCCTCCAGAGACGGCTCACGAGGAGGCATTCTGGCAGAAGCGGGCGGAGGCTGTGTGCTGGGGGGCCGTGACATTCCGGGCATGGGCGGTCCGCGTCTAGGAGGCGGCATCATCATTGCAGAGCTTGACCTGCCAGGAGGCGGGCGCATGGGAGGACCATTCCTTGGTGGAGGAGCTGAAGACATCCGGGTGGGTTGGGGAGGCGGAGCTTGGACAGACGGAGTAGGCGATTCGCGGGGTTTGCTTAGATTAGTGGTATTAACGTGGTGCAAGATAGCATAGATGGTTTCGATGCGGGGAAGGCGGATATTGAGTTCTGTTGCCAGCTTGATTGGGGATCCGAGGTACGTCTCGATCTCCATAGGACGACGAGCCTGGAAATCCTGATACATAGTGTTGGGAGACTGAGACGCGGCCATCGCATCCATTGTCTTCTGAGAAAAGTCGCTCGGGAAAGAGCAGCCGTGTGCTTTGGCCAAACCAATGAGCTCGTCAATCACATCGGTAACCAATTGCCGTACTCCGACCTTCTGTAGGAGTTCTGTTACGTTGCCGTTGTCAAACATGACGCTTGTTGGGTAAAATGCAATGGGCCTGGACGGTGACTGATTAGTGATATAGACTCGAGGAAAGGGTGGTTCGGGATATTCACCCTATGATACGCTCGAATTGCTCTTGTCTGATGTTGTTCGACACTTTGCAGTCCACTTGACCGGAGCTCAAGGTCATTGCCAAGGCGGCCGCCATGTCGGTTTGCATAGCCGACGGAAGGGTCGAATTGTTGTTGGTAGCACCGACCCAGATATTCGACGAGTTCAAATGCTCAAACTCGCTGGGTCCAATCTGTGAGATCTCCACGCCAGAAACGAGTGAGAGGACAACATTCGTTGGGAATCGTTGTTCGAGATGGGATTCGACGCCAAGGGTGTTGGTCGTGTTGAGCAGAATGCAGGTATGTTGAGGGGTAACCACGGATTCAATGACCGCTGCCAGGTCGTAGACATCGGGCAAGGCCTTCACGCAAAGAATAACATAGTCATATGCATTCTCTCGTGATGCCGCCTCTTCCGGTGAACGTACCACTGTAGAATGACCGATGTCAGCTGACCAGCACCATCGCTTGCGGTAATCCGACCAAAAAAAAATGACATACCGTGACGAGGTTTGAATCTTTCATTCCCAAATGCTTTCGACCTGTTGGTCAATTGTTAGAAGGCCTTCTGCGTTGTGTAGTAGCCAGAGAAACAAACTTGAAAGACACTCCGTATTGCGAAACCGCCTCAAACCCCGATTTCCAGACTAGCGTTACGTCGCAGGAGGTGGATGCCTGGAGCCTCCAGGAAAGAAAAGCTGAGATAGCGTTGCTGCCAACTAAACAGACCCGTGTTAGACGACGACCCATATTGAATTGGCGATCGAAGTAGTTGATCATTGAAGGGGGGTGGTGGCAGCGTGAGGCTGGATCCGGAGCACAAGACGGAGGGAGCCTGTCCGCCCGTCCTGGCCGAATCTGATACCGGCGAAGACTGAGACTAACCTGACAGAACGCGCAGGCGCGGTGGAGGAGCCATGGTGATCGATCAAAATTGGAAAGAAGCGTTCCCACCAGCCGATATGGTGGAAAGAAGGGAACCGTGAGTTATCGCCTAACTGCGAGCCGGACCAGAGTCGCCAGAGATCACGGCTGGGATGCGCGATTGACGTAGGCTGCCACCGAACGAAGGAACGCAGTGCGATCGCCGAAACTAGGATTATCGATTCGATTCGAATGCTGGACACACGCGATAGGCGCCAAGTGTAAGATAGTGAAAGTAAGGGGAATCACAGAAAGAGAATTCGCGACAATTAAAAACAGAAAAAGTAAAGGAAATCCAACCAGGACAAACGAAAGGAGGTGGTGGTCGTCGTAGCGAGGGAGAGGGAGGGAGGGAGCGTGAGGGAGACTAAAAAAACAAGTTTGGAGGAACGAGAGAGAGAGAGAGAGCAAGAAAGAAAGAGAGGGTGAGGGAGGAGAGAGAGAGGGAGGGGTGGGTGAGGAGAAAGAAGGAAGGATAGTTAGTGAAAGGGGAAGAAGATAGCAGCAATCAGAGATGTTGAAGGAGAATAGAAGAGATTCGGGATGGGAATAGGAATTATTGGGGATGGGGATAAGGTGTGGATTGGATGGTTTGGCTGTGTTCGCAGTAGTAGTAGTAGTAGTAGGAGCACCAGCACCAGCACCAGTACCAGCAGCAAAGCACCAGCATCAGCGACCAGCACCACAAGCAGAGATGAACCGGCAATTCAGCAGTTCAGTTCAGTCAGCTTTGGGCGGATGGGCAACCCGAATGGGAGAGCTGATGGAGCCGTACGTATCTTTTTTTTCCCCTCCACTGTAATAATAATAATAATATTTTTTAAACTTTTTTTGGGTTACTTTTTTTTCTTCTCTTACCTGGTTTGCTTGTTCACCCAGAAACCTCTAACGGTCGTCGTGGATCCCCCGCCAGGGCTCGATCCGGAAACGGAGGCAGGAAAGAAAGAAAAGATTGAACTGTCGACGGAGAGAGTAAGGAGAGGAAAGGAGGAAGACGGAAACAAAAGAGCTGCAAGCGACAATCAGATGGCGAGAGAAGGGTGGGTGTAATTACCAGGTGTGTGCGACTGAGTAAGAAAGAATGTCTGCCTCCGGGGATGGGATGGGAAAGGATGACAAGGCGTGATGAGACCAGCTAGACAATAATACGTACTGATGGGCTGAAATTGGCCGCATGCTAAGAATACTTAGTGAACTCCGGAGCACTGCCTT